GCTCTCCGCTCCCCAGCGGGGGCGGCTCCGGGCAAGGCAGTGACCCGGGGGGGAGGGCAGCAGCTGCTGCTGTTGCCACCACTGTGACAGCTGGGGTCTCTCCTCTGGGCAGCACTGAGCGCACAGAGCGCCTGAATTCCTCATTCTTCCAGGTATAGAGCAGCGGGTTGAATGCAGACAGGGAGCAGAATAGCAGCCAGCTGGTCACTTGCAGAGCCCGGGGCACAGAGGGCAGGAAGAAGCCCAGCAGGCTCACCCAGACCATGGGCTGGGTGTCTAGGAGGAAGACGCAACACAGGAGCAGCACAGAGACACTGCTCAGGCGCCGCTGAACACGGCGTGCCGGCGGCGGGGCAGCAGGGAAGGGCAGCTGGTGCAGGAGGTGGAAGTTGAGGACGCTGACCCGTTTGACGCTGACCCGCACCCGGCGCATGATGCCCAAGTAGCAATGGAGCAGCAGAGCTGTCTGGCTGAGCACAGCCAGCGCCACCAGCAGGGCTGTGTAGCGTGAACTGCTGACCTCCTGCTGGGATGACAGCTGCCAGAGCCATTGTGTCCACAGCCCGGGCAGCAGAAGCACCAAGAGCAGGGCAACTCCCCAGGAAAGTCCAATCATCCACCCCGTGCACCTCTGCTGGTAAAGTGCATGGTAGGTGCTGGGTGCCTTGGTGATCAGCACATACCGGTTGAGGGCCACCAGCAGGTGGGAGAGCAGGGAGACCGTGAGGCCGAGTCCAAGAAGCCCACCCCACAGCAGCTGGTATCCTGATGAATGAACAGAAGAAGCGGTAGGGGGCAGCAGCCCCAGGACCACTTCCTGCGGCATCCAGAGGGCACAGACGCTCAGGTCAGCTATGCAGCCATTCACAATGAAGGCATTGCTGGTGGTCTGCAGCTTCTTGAAGGAGAAGACCAGGTAAATGACCATCGTGTTGGACAAGGTCCCCACAATGGCCAACAGCGAATAGATGAGAGACAAGGAGATTCTGGTCCCCGCAGATTCCTCACACAGCAGCAGCAGCGAGGAGCTTGCACTCCAGACAGAAGAGGATGAAAAGTTGGGCATCTTGTTGAATGCAGCTCAGCTTCGACTCCTGTCGGCAAATCCCATCGTGATCTGGCCAGGAGGCTGGGAAGCAGAGACACAGACCATGCAGCAGAGGACAAGCCAGAGCATTCAGCTAGCAGGATCCACAGCAGGTAACAGGCATGTTTCAGAGCATACAAGATCCGGAGCAGGCAGCTAGCAGCATCCAGAGCAGGCAGCTAGTAATGGGTGGTCCAGAGCAGGCAGGCAGCATCAGGTCCAGGGAAGCAGCTAGAAGGGATGGCTCAAAGCATGCACCAAATAAGGATGGTTCAGGGCAGGTAGCAGAAAGGATGCTCCAGCTGCGAAAATACCAAGAGAAGCAGCACTCTGCAACCAACAGCAACAAAGAGAAGCAGCAGCTGATCTGAAGCCCTGCAGCGTTTTTTCTGCACTACGGTACGCACACTGAACATCGCTCCAGGAAAATTCAGCCCTTCCTGCTCTTCATGAATTATTCAGGAGATTTCCTACTTGCAAAAGCAGAAGAAACCCAGCTTGCTCTGAAAATATTACAGTTACGCCGACTGATTTTTCTCCCTGCCTCACCAGCTCCCTGGCTCTAATAGCACCTTACATTTACACAACACCTTTCATCCTCAATAAGTGTCTCAGACTTGGATGGACTTAATTCACCTGCCTCTGAAATGCAGTCCAGCTGAGGTAGAAACTCCCATGCGAACTACTCTCTTGAACTGATTTCTTCTGATTCACACTGTTAGGAAGCATTCTGTGCGTCTATAAACCTTTATTTTTTTTTTAAAAAGTATAATTTTAGAGCAGGTTTCTAGTAGCGACATGCTCTTTAATTAACCCTCCCACTTACTATATACGACATCTTGTCAAAAGTACTTTTTGTTTGAGGGAGGTAAGTCTCAAATGCACTTAAATGTAAGTTTAGTGGTGTGGTGAGGGGCAAGGAAAGGAAGACTGGAGTACATGGAAACTCATTACCCATCCTCTGTGTTGGATTTGTCATGACTTTTGACTGTGAACAATTTAGTGTAGTGAGGGGCGAGCTAGGCTAGTGAGTGGGCTATATGAGTGGCCCTTCTTCATCTCTATGGGCCTCAAGATTGCCATAACGAAGATGGTCTCCCTGGATAGGGTAGTTTTGCTAACTGCACCTGTGTACCTAGAATTTGCGGGATGTGCTAAGTGAACCAGAGCAGCACTTTGTGAGAGCCATGCACTCCTTCTGCGTCCAATCAGTGTTGTGTGTGATCAGCACCAACCTCACCTCACATACTCTGGCTTTAAGTGCATGTCACTTTAGTAATACTGCTAGGGAAAAAACGACATGGACAAAACCCAGCAGAATCTGGCATCCCTGTGTGTGGACAACGGTAAACAATATGTTTTGTGGGCCACACATAAAACCTTAAAGGGGCTGCAGGTTGCCCACTACTTATTTAGTGTTACAAACACTCAGGCTATGTCTAAACAATGAGCCTTTTGCGGAAGAGCAAATGTATTTTTTGAGGAAGAACGGCTCTTGCACAAAAGGTTTTTTTTTAGCAAAAAGGCACCATCTACACAGCGCTTTTTTGCGCAAAAATCTCTTGTGCAAAAGGGAAAGGAAGAGGAAATACAAATGAGAGCACGACCTTTGCATTTGCTCTTCCGCAAGAGGCTCGTATCAGACGTAGCCTCAGTCCTTACTTCCAAGAATAATCCTACTAATGGCAAATTATGAGGATTTCAGAAGCAGGAAACTGATACAAACCAGCGAAAGTTCCAGACCTGACATCACAAACTGGTGTCGATGCCACCCAATCCCCTTCGACAGGTTATCTGGAGGTTATCAGAAGTGGCATGGAGATAAAAAGGGAACAACTAGAGATTCAGTCTTTTCACCACAGTGGCACAAAGGGAATCACAACTGAATGTACTTCCACAGCTGAAGGTATCCCAGGCATGGGGAATCCAAGTGTGTGTAGAGACAACACAGCTGCTTTGCAATGGGTGTCATAAGTGATGTCAACACATAGCAGCCTACACCAACACAACGCTGCCCACACGCACATTTCCTATCACCCCCTGGCAGCATCCTTCCCAACAGCAAGGGCTCTCCAGCCCTGGAGCCCCTGCTAATCACAGCGACAGAATGGGAAAAGGTGACAGTGGACTAAAGCAACCATTTTGGACTTAATGTCTAAAAGGGTGCACTGTGCTGGGTGGAGCAACTTCCAGATTTGCGGTACCCAGCCACATCAGCATGCCTGTTTTGTCGGGAGTGTCGTACATTCACTCATCAGCAAGTAGTGGATATGCAAGAAGCCTCAACCAAAGTCCTGTGAATCTGACTCATACTTTTACTTTCCTATAAAAGTGAGAGTCAGAAGTAACTGACACAACCTCCACTTGTAGCCTGCTAAGCTATATCTTTTCCTATCCCATCCCTTTTCCTATATTTTAATAGTAATGCCAGTAATGCAAGGCCTGCAGGATCTGATTTATCCTGCATGAGTTGGCTTCAGCAGTAGTGTAGTGTGATAATTAAAGGTTAGAATTACATTCTGAAAAATTAAATATTCTTAATACCTTCTTAGAAAATTATGGAAGACCCTATGGCGAGCTCTTCAGTTGGGTCAGTACACAGATGGGTATGTGACTCAGTGTCTTGTGATAACTAAGTAAGGTCAAATCTGCATGGCCCAGCTAACTGATGTCTTGAATTAAGAAAACAGGCCTGTTGTACCTAATCACAAAGCTCCTGCTTTTTCCATGTCTGGGAATGGGTCCAAGGGAGGCATCAGATGATTTAATTAATGCATATTCAAAAGATGTCCGAATATCACCCTCCTATCAAGTATATGAACCCACAAAATCTTAGGGTTCATAATTCTGACTATGGCCATTGTAGGTTGGGCAATGACACAAAAAGAGGGATAAAAACTGTGGGAATAAGGAAGCTGGGGGCTCGAACACAAGCTCTATCTTCTTCCTCAATCAAGTACTTCTTCCTTTCATTTCAGCTCCTTGCTTCACTTTACTTGTTCTGTCTTAAGTCTTTGCATCTAAGTTTTCCACACTCCACTTTGCACCCAAGTCCCACACGTGGAGGGAGGCTGGTCCTTCCATGCCCGGTCTTCTGGGAGATGGGGATGTGAGTATGGTATTATATTAGGTAACTGTGGGTATGTCTACATTACAAAGTTAATTCAAAATAACTGCTGTTATTTCTAATTAACTTTAAGAGCGTCTACACAGGCAAACCGCTATTTCGAAATAAATTTGAAATAGTGGAGCCCTTATTTAGAATTTGGTAAACCTCATTCTATGAGGAGTAATACCAAATTCGAAATAGCTATTTTGAATTAAGTGTTGTGTAGACACTTATTTCGAAATAGGGGGCCTCTAGCCCTTCCCAGGGAGCCCTGGTGGCCACTCTGGGCACAACCAGGAAAACTTACTCTCCTCTCCCCCAGCCCCGGAGCCATTAAAGGGGTCGACCTTGGCCACAGTGCCTGTGCCAGCTCCAAGTCTGCCAGCCTAGAGCCAGCAGTGGCCAACGGGGCCCCTGAACCAGTGGTCCCAAACCATGAGCCAGCAAGCCACTGGCAGCCAGCCCTCCACCGCTCCCCAGGAGCAGTCTGCCAGCTCCCAGGAGCCTGACGGGCGCTGGAGAAGGCGAGCACCTTCCTGGTCCAGAGTGGAGATCATGGACCTTATTCAGGTTTGGGGGGGATACCCCCAACGTCCATGATCTCCGCACTAGATTGAGGAACGTGGCCGTCTATGGCAGGATAGCTGCCAGCCTGGCCACCAAAGGCCACATGCGAACCCAGGAGCAGGTTTGCATGAAAGTCAAGTTGGTTTGGTGAGAACCCCAACCCTGAGCTTCTCCTCCCCCTTCTTCCCCTTGCTTCCGCCTACCAGGTCCCTCCTCCCAGGTTTCCCCCTCCCCTCTTCCACCCTCTCTCTTCCCCTCTCCCACCTCCTTTTCCCAGTCTTCCCAGAGGTTCATCTCCCTCGCCCACCCAGTTTTGTTCAATAAACCCAGTTTCTATTTTTGAACATACGTGTCTTTTATTTGACATCAGGAAGGGGGGCTAGGGAAGGGTAAGTGGAAGAACGTGAGGGAGGAATGGGGCACGAGCCCCCAGTGGGGAGGACCGGGAAATCTCTGAGGGCTCCTCAGGGTGGACGCTCTCCCTCAGGGCCTCCTGGATCCTGAAAGCCCCCCGGTGGACCTCCTGCATGGCAGCCTGCAGAAAGTGCAGCCGAGCTGATGGCAACGACCCCACGAGACACACCGGTATGCCCAGGGGCAGCTCTGGCTCCATGTGGCTGAGTGCTGTGGTGTCCCGAATTTGGGCACTCAGGGCACTCCAAGACAGGACTGCTTTGCTGTCCCTCATCGAGGTAGACAAGCAAGCGGGGAACCCTGAGAACTGGCTGTCTGGGGTGAGGGTAGGGTCCCTTTAAGCACAGCCTTAGTCTCAGTTAGTCTCAGGCAGCAGCCCCACACACTAAGTCCTAACCTGATGCCCTGCCGGCACTGGTTCCAGCCAGCCTTAACTTCGGTTCAGGGTCTATTTCAAAATAGTTTTTGTGTATAGATGCGTTATTTCGAATTAGCTTAATTCGAATTAACTATTTCAAATTAAGTTAATTCGAAATAGTGCTGTAGTGTAGACATACCCGGCATCTGTATACTGAGATAAGCACAAATTATATAACCAGATTTTTGTTAAGGTTACCTTCACAGGTGATTCAATCAATTTATATCATCGGTACTGTATGCTTTGTTCTATTTGCCAACTTAATACCTGCCATAATAAAACTTGTTTTAATTCAGTACTATCCTCATTGTGAGTGTGGCTGCTATTGTGGACTCCCTGATCCACCTCCAGAAAATGAACCCCACAATTCTCATATATTATAACCTGGGGTACGGACGTCAAGCCCAGAACCTTCTAGTGAGATTACCCACCTAAATTCCAATATACTCTCCCCGGGGCTATGAACAAAATAACCAATGAAGCACACAATAATCCCTTTCT